AAATTTTCGATTCTTTGATAGCTGTGGCCCTAAGTAACGATTCTGTGTCCCTGAGTAACGATTCTGTGTCCCTGAGTAACGATTCTGTGGCCCTAAAGTCTCTGTGGCCCTAACTCTGTCCCTTAATACACACAGGTCTGTCTCTCTTGAATGACCGGAGGCTAATGGAGAATTCTAAGATGGCCGTGATTTATAGCTCCACCATTACACAGTGCTGGCTGGCTGCTGATTGGCTAATGCGATCACATGTCATGATTCATGACTCATGAATGCATTATGGGTCAGCGCGCCTTGTCTGTGCGCCTTCCCAGAGATCCCCGCCCCATCTTCTCTGTCCATTTTCTCCTGTCGCCACACATGTCGCCGCCATTTTTGGGAAAATTCGATTCGTGCATCCGAAGTTTGCTAATCTTTGGATTCGTCGCGAATCGAATTTTTCCAAATCTTCGGAACGAATTCCACTTCGTCATGTTCGATTCGCTCATCTCTACTACTCTTGATGTTATGGTAGATTTTTTGTATCTCGAATGGCAAACAGTTCAACCACTAGTCCTTTTAAAGTTATGATCTGTTACATTTAAGCGCTGCCCTGTTGTTTAGCCAGCAAAGTTATCTGTCTCTTTATTATGAACAGAATATGGCCCACAAGAATTTTCCATCAGGTTTAATAGCTGGCCTATTAAAACTGGCAGAACTATCATATCCTCTAAAATCTCCTCCATTGTGCAATGGCTACAACCTGAGGAACATAACATGCATACATATAACACAAGATATAAGGTGAGCGCAGATAATATGGCAGCTGCTAGCACAAAAGGCAAGGTAATCTATTCAAATGTAAGTGCAGCGCTAAAGCATAAGTGACAAATGCAATCATAGAGTGCTTATGTGAATAGAAGTGTTCATACAATAAAAAACGTCTCAGATCATATAAAATCATAGAATCATAAAAAACTCTAAAAATCTGAACATAAATAGTGAATATAAATAGTCCGTGTGGCACTACAGGTCACAGAAGTGCCAAGTGATACGTGTGTGCGTTTTAGCAATATTAGTGATTATACATAGTCTGTGGCACTACAGGTCACAGAAGTGCCAAATGATACATGTGTGCTTTTTAGTAATATTAGTGATTATACGTAGCTCGTGGCACTACGGGGTCACAGCAATGCACAGTTATTGTGGAACTACAAGGTGCAGCAATCACGCCACCGCAGCCGGAGTTCAGAGAGTGGCGGCCATCTTGGTATGTTTTTATGAACTTAACTCTTTGCTGTATACACCTGGATTATTTTGAACTATTTACAATAAATACTACACTATATTGCCATACCTTCGACTCCTGTGGTGAGCTTCTCTCTCTAGGAGGATCCTTTGCTGGTTTTGCCTAGCCCTGACTCTGGAGAAGTCCGGTCCTCTATTTATGGCTTCCTGAGACCCCCATAAGGATCAGCATTAATGCTATTATACAAGTAGCGTTCTGGTGAGTGCACATCTGTATAAGATTCCTTTGTTGGCTCATGAGCACTCTCGAGCATCCCAGCTGGTATTGCTGCACCTTGTAGTTCCACGAACACCGCCCATTGCTATGACCTGTAGTGCCATGGACTATGTATAATCACCATTATTGCTGAAAAACACACATATATCACTTGGCACTTCTGTGACCTGTAGTGCCACGGACTATGCATAATCACTAATATTGCTAAAAAGCACACACGTATCACTTGGCACTTCTGTGACCTGTAGTGCCACGGACTATTTATATTCACTATTTATGTTCTGAGTTTTTTATGATTCTATGATTTTAAATGATCTGAGACGTTTTTATTGTATGAACACTTCTATTCACATAAGCACTCTATAATTGCATTTGTCACTTAGGCTTTAGCGCTGCACTTACATTTGAAATAATATGCAAACAGACTTGTGCCTTTGCACTAGCAGATGCTTGCTAATGCATTCCAGTGAAACATATTGCTGGGTTTTCTGTTTGAAACCAATAAGCCCTCACCAAAGCGCAAACACCAGAAGAAGAAGGCTCACTCTACCAACTGGTCAGTACACCCCTGTTCTCAGATAACATTTTGTATATGTTTGTTTTCTCCTCTTGCCATTCTCTTCCACTTTAAAGCTTCATGAAGCAGCAATGGATTCTTTAGCAGAGGTAACATAACAAACTGTGATATGACTGATTACAAAATATCAGTAAATACGTGGCTTGTGTAGAATATTCAGAACATTGAAAGAGAGCAACTTCAGTATTGGAATACAGTGTTCATGGTTTTTATGCAACAACTACATCAGTATAGCGGAGTACACGTTTATAGCGGCATTTATGGTAAACTCTGAAATAAAATGTTCCTGTTTGCAGTTCAGAAAGCAGAAAAGCACATGTGGACTGTGCATTGTCTGTTTTGTAGGGCTATATACAGAATTTCTAACTTTCAGTCTTAGAAAATGGGAGTTCTGCCACATGGCCACAGTACTTGTAATGTACATGTAAGATTTGAGTAGCTGAGATGTGATCTGTAGAAATATGACAATGTAGGTTTAGCTTCAGTCCATGTTATAATAATATAAGATGTGTTCAGAATTAAGTCAGAGACATATGGTCAACAATTAGCATCTGAAGGGACAGAGCATCCTCTAGACTGGAGGTGACACCTGGATGCCAATAAGATTTGTCACCTTCTGGAAATCTGGAAGGAAAAGGCTCTAGACAGTTTGGCTTCATGACACAGCGGGAGACCAGAGGTGGTTCCGATGTGTCTGGGAGCTTTGACATATATACACAGATCAAAGGAATATATTTAATCTCTCATAAAAGCTAAAATATTAGTTGCAGAGAGATGAAAATACTTCCTTCTGATTGGACACACTGTAGGCTACATCTGCATGTAAAACTGTATTTGTAGCCTATGTAGAATCCCAGAGAAACGCAGAAAACAGTTATATGGTGCCTGATTGCGACAGCTAAACAGTGATTGTTACTGTCACCATCGGACTGATGCGCTGGTGTCAGAAACTCAATCCCTAACTTGGTGATTCAAACCGTTCCTGGTCCAATCGACTTTGGGCATTTCAGTACCCAGAACATCCTGTGTGGTGGTACAGGAACACCCCGCAGGGTTGATTGGCTAAGGGCTAATGTCCAGGCTATGTCCATATTCCCATAAATTGAGGACCCTGAGATATGGATGGGGTGATTCGTACGGAGCCGGTTCTATTGACTGGCGGATCGCGGACTTTCTCTGACTTGCTCCAGTCGCAGGAAAACTCTTGGTAAAAGTTTTATTTCTGTTTTTATTCCCTTTTATTTTATAGTCAATAGCCAATTGTGTGTCTTCTTGTATTATTTCCATATTATTTGTAACTCTTTATACTTTGTACATATTTTATGCACTTCCCACTTTCGGGATATTAAATCATAAAATTTAAATAAAAAGTGACTTCTGGGTACTTAAGCTCGGGCTCATATCTCCGGAGAGATTGTATTGTATTGCAGTGTCTTTATATGCTTGGTCAAGTTCATTGCCTATCTGTATGCAATTGCACTGCGTGTTGGCAGATTGCATGCAGATTGTAAGGTAAGCAGATCTGCCAGGCGGAGATCTGTGTGTGTGTGGTGGCCCAGCAGACCAGTCTGCGGATAAAACTGTTGGATGGTGGCAAGCTACCATTTGTGATGTGTCTGGTGTGGGGGTGTGTGGACAGTGGAAGAGTGATTAACACCGGGATCTAGCTTGTAGGATAGCTGGAGGAATCCTAGAAGGGTGTGCCGATTGCTAGGCTGCTCTTCAACCCTTAGTGTGCACCAGATTGTATATAAGATTTGTATCTGCCTGTGTGTGTGGACAGCCAGCTGGATTGGAGTGGAGTCTCCCTCTAGTGGTGGCCAGAGGCAGTGCAGGCTGTGAAAGTGTATCACGGCCGGTCCTATATATATATTCAGAATAAATTAAGTCCCCCTAATTCCCTCTTACCCCAAGTCACGGCGGGACGTGCACGCCTCGGTTAGCTAGTCGCTGTGGGCGTGTGTATGTGGGTTGGATCCATGACAATACTGGTGAAACATTACAAAACCTGTACTGAAAAAAATAGGTAGATTACCATTTTTGACCTCTCCTGAAAACACAAGTAGTTTGCTATCATGACAGTCTACTGGCTTAAATTTCTAAACAACTGACCTGGTTTTCTTTATTGGCAGGAAGACATACTGTGCAGTTGTGAACCTATTCTGTACAATTAATTCAGAGAACACTATCTCAGAGTGGAAGTTTATCTCTATCATTATCTGTATTTATATAAAAAAGGTCATATATATGGCAAGGCAGGCAACCTGTAACCAGACACTATGGGAACATAATAAGAACAACAGGCTATGTACAAGCAGTAGAAGGAAGACTTAGGGTGGGGAAAGTAAAAGAAAAGGTTACATATTCTCATGTTCTTTCATGTAAACTCATGCCCTAGGACTGAAATTACAAAGACATTATTAAGCTTTAGTTGATTTTGGCATTGAGTTATATAAATTCTAATTGATTTAGCTACGTGTAAAGTGCTCATTGTGATTAAAGACTCATTAAACTTTCAATTACTGTATCCATGGTTTTGAACCCCAATTACCAAGTCTTTTCTTCCAGAGGCCCCATGTACACGGGACATTTCTGAATGATGGAAACTGACTGCTGGAAAATGTAGGTTAAAAAAACGTCTGCTTAGCCGTGTTTGCATAACGTGTTTATGCGCGTTTGAGTTTAGAAGCGTTTTTTAAACATAAGCACAGGAGAACCTCCCAAATGCTCAGAATGCACTGAAAAGTGGTAAATTATTAATTATTTCAGACTGTTTCAGAGAAATACACACAGTAGAAGCAGAGACAGCAGCATGTGTTGAGATAATTAGGCAGGAGTTGCTCATTAACATTTCTTTTGTTTCCAAGGGTGGGAAGATGTCTGCTGGAGTGAGTCATTAGGGTCACCTGGCAGGGGGTCTTCATGAGGAATTTGAATGGTCATTAACATATCTTTTGTTTCCGAGTGTGGGAGAGGTCTGAGGTGTGAATTGGTCATTACAATGTGTGACAAGCTTGGTGGGAACATCCTGTGTTCAGTGTTTTGTCCATCTGAGCACCTTGAAAACTCTTTGCATGCATTTTTCATGATGAAAAAAGGCTCTAGACAGCATTGGGAACTGGAAGAGTTAAAAAAAAAATTCAAACGTAAACGCTTATAAATGCAATTTGCCACGTTTAGCCTCGTTTATAAGCATTTTGTGTTTGAATTGCTGATAAAATTGATGTCTGAACGCCAATTTGTTATGTTAAAAAAACGACTGTAAACTCAACTGCCTGTAAACGACTGTAAACGAAGATGTGTACATGGACACAAAGGAAAACATTAGGGTGAGTTCAGGGGCTGCTGAAAAAAATGCTGAACAGCTCCTAAACATGAGTTTATCAGCTGCAGTGTACATGAGCCCATAGATAATAGAGACACAGATCACAATAAATATATTCTATTCCTTCCACACCGATAAAACTAACAGCAGAGTGGCGGCATGGATGGATCCTTGTTCAGAAATATCAGGAAATACTAGAATGAATTCTTTCTAAGTTAATTCAGTTTCATCAAAACTGTTTCTGTTGGATAGTATACATAACCACATGCCATTTGTCTCTCATTCTGAAAACCTGCAATACCTGTATGGAAAGAATATTGATAACAATATGGATACACAAATAAATTCAGAATCTACTACACTGGTGAATCTATAGAAATAATACATTCAACTTCTTTTAAAAGATTTGCATTTTTACTGGCTGAGTTGGTAATGACAATGATACCTTTCATTTATCCCGACAATCAATGCCCTCTCCGGTTTCATTTGATGCAGAAATGCTAAATAATGGGTTTTTTTTTTTAGCAATACCAACTCCTCAAACAAGCAGCCACTGTTAAAAGGGAAAGCAAAAAAAAATCAAAGTTATGGACAATACTACTTGCCAATAGCAAATTTGATGTAAAACAGAAATGTGAATTCACTCTTAGCTAATTACCTTTCAGCTCAGGTGAAATGTACATGTACTGGACATCAGCGATACCAAACATGATTGACCAATGCATCATTTGATGGATTTAAACTGGAGGTTATACTTGACGTTAGAGGGCGTTCAAACATATCTGTCTTGTCTAAAACCATGAGTTCATGATTAATACTATCCTGCATGGGAACCTTTCCATTATACTACCTAATGACAAAAACTTAGTGAGTAATATATATATATATATATATATATATATTAATTTACTAAAACTGAAACATGCAAAATCTGGTGCATCTGTGCATGGTAGCCTAATCAGCTTCTAACTTTAGCTTTTTCAATTAAGTTTTGACAAACAAAACATGGAAGCTGATTGGTTTCTATGTAGAGTTGCACCAGATTTTGCACTCTCCAGTTGTAGTAAATCACCCCCATTATTTTGTTAGTATCTGGCGTTTCATCTGAGTGACCATTGTCTCAAGCACATGGACGTTTGGAGGGTTAAAAATATGCCTAAAGCTAGACTCATAGAGGTCAATGGCAGTATGTAGCCATACTCAGGTGTTCACTAAACTCAGAAATCCTGGGTTCAGGGAAATATGTCATAAGCACATGTGCATATTTGCAAGGATTGCATTGGAGTTTACTTAAGTACCAAGCAAACAATCACAGTGCAACAACCTCACTAGAATCTCCAGTGGTGAGGGTACCAGTGCTCAGGCACAGATTTCTGTAGCCTCATCAGTATTGGATCCACAGTTAAGTTATGACTTTAATTGCACTTTAAAGTGGTTGTAAAGGCGGAAGGATTTTTACCTTCATGCATTTTTTATACATGAAGGTAAAAAACCTTCTGTGTGCAGCAGTGCCCCCAGCCCCCTCAATACTTCCCTGAGCCCCATCGCGATCCATCTCAGCTGTCCTGCATCTCAGCCTATTCATTGGCTGAGACAGCAAGCAGGAGCCATTGGCTCCAGCTGTTGTCAATCACAGCCAGTCAGCCAATGAGGAGAGAGTGGGGCGGGGGGCAAGCTGCGTCTCCATTTGTGAATGGACACAAACTGCTTACTGTGGGGCACCCGACAGACAGGAGGAACCAGGAGAGCCTGCGGGGGATCCAAGAACAGCAGATGCAGGCTGCTCTGTGCAAAACCACTGCACACAGTAGGTAAGTATAGACATGTTTGTTATTTTACAAAAAAAACAAAATGAACCTTTAGATTCACTTTAAGGCATCCCATCTAGACTCATGCATGGATAATTTGAATTGAAAATAGTTTTTAAAGAGGAGCTGAACTATAAAACTGTGTCCCCAAAGACAAACTGAGAACAAAAGACCGGTGCTCTACATTGTCCATGGTATTCTAGAAGCTGATCTTTTCCCCATTACTGATTTAAACTGGCCATACAGTAATACATTTTTGAACAAAGATTCATACAAGCATTCATACAAAAATTTGTAAAAAAAATTCTCAGTATATTTGATGACTTGATGAATGTCATTTGAAAGCAGTCCAAAATTTTGTTTGCTTTAAGCATTTGATTTTTAAATGAATGGACTAAACCAAATGGATACCACATACAATGTTAGAAATTCATTTGTTCAAGAAAAAAATTCCATCCTGCTCCTTTGAATGTTCTGGTCACTGCTGTCAAAAATGTACATCAATTTGACCCCACTAACAATTAGAAAATTGAATGGATGTTCTTAAAATGAACCATTTTGAGTGAAATTCTGCTAGTGTATGGCCAACTTTACCATGCCTTGCTTCACACTGTTCACAAAGTCCAATGACTGCCAAACAAAATGTCTGAGAGTCCAAATGCTTTTATTATCAATATCTGTTCACATGGTGAAAACAAAGAACAGCAAACACATTTCTGGGAGCTTAAAGATTTCCCACTTTTTTGGGTCTTCATTTTGATGGAGATATTGGAGGACTCACAGTTAAGCAAACTTAAACCCTGAAGAATGAGGAGATCTTTGAGCCCTGGAAAAGCATTGGCTGTTCTGTGTTGTCTCCTTGTGAGCAAATATTGATATTAAAAGCGTTTTGACTCTCAGACCATTCGTTTAGTGCCGTCACTGGACTTTGTGCACGTATATTTTTAAATCTAGGTTCCCTGTGTAGCACTATCCCCAAAGGAGCCACTGGTTAAGATGGCTCCTCTGTTTCTGGCCTCAACCTTCTCAAATACCCTCTGACACACCAGGCTGAGTATGCAAACAAACACTATCACAGAGAAATTCCTGACAGTAACACTAGTACGCAACTGTGATGCCACATTTAAAGAATGCAAGCACCAAACTTAATATATTGTTATAAAATAAAGTTGTAAAGGTAGGTTGAGGCAAAAGATTAAATAAATAATAAAGATAATAATTCATTTAGTATACTGAATATTGTGCAATAAACACAAGGTGGCATTTTCTGTCCAGAACAGCATAAACAGTAACAATGCCACCTGAAGTGCAGCAGTGAGCAGTAAAGTACATGTACATTAAACCACTGGCACTATACTGTCAGAGTGCACTAATGGTGGCTATGCTAGGCCTTACATGATCTGGTAAGCATCATCAGTAGTTGAGAGGTCAAGAATGGGTTTAAAGAGATATTGGGGGTTTGCTTGCAGGTTTCATGAAAGGGGCAGTCCTTGAGATGTTTCTTCTGTCGACTACACATTGGGTCCCTTTAAGAAATGTTAGTGCACTTAACAAGAGTCCTTATGAACCTGCAGGCGGTTAAAAATTTCTATAAGGGTTGTATAGTCTTTGCACGGATGCATTGTAGATAAGGGAAAAGTACCGGATAAAGATGTTTCAGATGTAGCGACAGTTCAGTATAGTGGTGGTATGGATTTGGTAAGGGTGCAATATAAGTCTGGGATGAATGCAGCATGAACTAGGTGTTCTTGGCATCCAGCTCTCAGCAACTCAGTCTCTGCTAGCAGTGTATTATATAGTCTAATAAAAGGCGGCGCCTAGTCTCGTCTGCAGCGTTGGCTGGTGTGGTGTATCGAGGAAGCCAGGAGATCCTAATTCTGAAAACCTAGAAAATAGCCGAATAGCCCATACCTGGAGGACGCCAGCTGTGTGACAGAGTACCAGGGAGGAAGGAGATCCTTTGGACCTGACCAGGCTGACCACCTCTTAAAGGGGACCTCTGGCTGTATTTTGTATACTATGCGCTTCATGATCTTTCTTCTGGTGAGTGTGCATTTTTAACATCTCTGACACATCACCTGGGCGGTTGTGAAGCACAGATCACTACCTGAAGATACCTCTGATCACAATAAGCATGTTTTTGTTTTGTTTTTTTTTTTCTTATAAATATTTATTTATTTTCAAGTCTGATACATGTCATTTCAACATTTCTATTATTATAATTATCAAAACAGTAATTTATATAATTTATTTGACCATATATATAACTTCCTTTCTTACCATCCCCCCTCCAGACTCCCCCTCCCCTCTATCCCCCCTCCCCTCCCCACCGTCCCTCTCCACCCCCACTCCACTTTCCTTTTTCTCTCATTAACTCCATATCTTTCTGTTATTCCTAATTCCTATTCTAATTCCACTTCCAGGAATCTTATCTCATCATATATTTCACCTTTACTTTATATTCTTCCCAGACTTTCCATTTTTTATTATACAACTCCAACTTGTCCTCATACGTATAATACAATCTTTCTGTCCCGGATAGCTGATTTACTCTACTTATCCAATCCTCCTCAGTTGGCACCTCTCTTTTCTTCCAGAACCTGGGGATCAGACTCTTTGCTGTGGTCAAGTAATGCCATATCCCGGAACTCTTGTATACTTTCGTAGAGAGCCCCGAGATATGGAGGAGGCATAGTTCTGGATCCAATCCTATATTGATTTTAGTAATTTTCCCTATTAAATAAACTATCTTCTGCCAAAACACCTGTGATTCTGAACACTCCCACCACATGTGATACCACGTGCCAACCTCACCACATCCTCTCCAACACATCCGTGACATCTCCGTATTCATCTTGTGCTCTACATTAGGGGGTAATGTGCCATCTATTCAAACACTTATAATTTATTTCTACTTCCCTCATACTAATATTTTCATGAATTAATGTGAACATTTTCCTCTTCTCCTCCTCCTCTACTTTCCTTCCAATGTCTCTTTCCCATTTCTCTATGTGCATTAATTTTGTGTCAGTGTCAATCTCCAATAATATCTTGTGTATTTTTGCCATTCCGTGTCTACCATTTCCCCGTGACTCAAAT